ATTTTCTCTTGCACCTAGCTATCTACCTTCCTTCTTTGATTATATAAACCACTGATCAGCAATACCCACAGAATTTTATATATGTATGTGTATATATACTAATATCTATATATCTACATATCAAGAGGTATGCTAATTTTTTGTCTCAAACTAACTATAGCTAATGCATACCTTGCTCTTAACTTTGTGCCATTGAGTAGGTTAACAATCCTTAAAACCATCCCAATAAGGCAGGCAGTATTATTATTCATGTTTCACAGATCAGAAAACTGAGGCTTGGGGAGGCAAAGTAGCTAGTCCAAGTTATACAGCTGGCCAATGGATGGAGGCAGGTTTCAAATGCAAAGCTGTCATGCTCCAGAATCCACACTTGTAATCCACATCCTGCTCAGTTTCTGCATTCAGATGGCCACACCTCCCTAGTCTGCTTTCTCTCTTGCATCTCCATAACCTCTGTCTTTGTTGACCCCCACCCCCCCACCCTCAGCATGATGTTTCCAAGCTATCCTGGGGTAGGGGTAGAGGTGGGGAGAGAAGGGAAGGGAAGACTTCTAGTGCTGAGATGTCTGTTCTCTCAGAAATGACAAACTCTATGCTTCTCCCTCACCCCGTCTCTCCTTTCCCCATTGAAATGTCCCCCTCTGTCCACAGCCATAGAGCAAAGGGAAAATTGGTGTTCCTTAGTATTCAAGCAGCATGGTACACATTCAAACCACTGTCCAGTGCAGAAGGCCTTTTCTTCACTTTAAAATGTTTAACTGATTCCTGCTTCACAATTTGTGAGTTAGGTTAACATGGTGAAATACTTTTGAATGAGACATCCACTCATTTATTCTTCCCCATTTAGATTTTTAGAACATGGTCATTAGGCTCACAGCCACTCATTCTTTCTGAAATCCTTTTGATCAGCTCTGACCTTAAATCTTTTCAGAAACAGTATTCTACCAGAATTATCAAAGGATCCATCATTATATCTAGGGGATTTGGTTTTTCAAGGACATCATAATCTGGGGTGGACCAAGAACTCAAACTTCATGGCCCTTCTTCGATCTAGTAATAAGATTCCTCATAGAGGAGTGATAAGGATTAAATGAGTTCACTTATTCAAATTGCTCAGAAGAGCACATGCCATGTACCATATTTTCTATTCTACTATTAGCTTTTATTTCATATTTAAACATTTGTGAGATTTGAATGTCTTAGAAATGATGATTGACATTAACAATATAATTAACATTTTCTATTGCATCTTTCAACCCTAAATTTTATAAAAGTATCAGTAAATTCTCAATTAGTGTTATTCCTCCTCCTCCTTCTTTTGCTCTTACTTCATATCCCAAGATTACCATTCTCCACCTGACATTGAAGGATGAGAACTACACGGAAGGACCTTTCCCCAGCCTGCATGGTCAGCCTATTTCTTTTATTCATAAACTGGAACAATATTCACTGGCCATTTGGTCAGCCCTGAAAGGTAAGGTAATTCACATTCATGTACCTGTAAAAACAGATATTGAGAGTCTACCATATGCCATAAGCTCTGCTCTATACTAGGAGTACACCCTGTACTCAAGCAACACAGAGAGCAGAAAGAATACATAAAACAAATAAGAACAGGTGACTGTACAATGCCCACACCCCTCCTACCTAGGTCTGTTATCAACATCTTGTTTATAGTCCTCAAGATGTTATCAACATCTTGTCAACAGTCCTCAAAGCAGGGCTTGGCACTTCCCTTGTAACCTTCTAAAGAAAAATCAACACCACAATGATAGAGATTTTTCATGTAGAATGAGAATGCTCAATTTTATACTACATGGAGAACTCAACAAGAAATCCAATTAGACCACTTTAATTTTCCCCAAATTATCACTTCAATTATGAAATGTTATTTTCCTCACAACCTTTTCCCCATTAATCTTTCTCAGATTTCTAGCTTCAACCCATCTTCTCCAGGATGGATGGATATCTCCTTCCCATCACACTTCCATGCCTACACACATATATGCATGCACATATAAATGCACACACATCCCTTCCTCTGTATCTTTCCCTTTTCTTACACAAAGACCTTTAGTTCCTTTTTAGTTTCTCCAAATTATTTGCATCATCTCACCCATTAACACTCTCCCCACCTCCCCACCTTTCAACATTTACCTTACTCAGTGCATCAGAGGATTCTAAATAATTATTTTTCATGTGTGTATGAGAGATAGAGAGAATGGGTAAATATAAGAAAATATAATAAGTGCCAACATAACAGGTAGATACAGAATAATGGGAGAACAAAACCAAAAAGAAAAACCCTTCACCCTAAGCCCAGAGAAAGGACTAAGGCATATGGGTGATTCTCTACATTTGAGGATATGAGGATGTCTGGAGACATTTTTAGTTGTCACAATTAGAGAGGTAGAGTGATGTGCAATTAACATCTAGTGATGGAGACCAGGGATGATGCTAAACAGCCCACAATGCACAGTATAAATTTGACAACAGAGGAGTTTCTGGCTCCAGGTATCCATAGTGAGGCTGAGAAACCCGAGTTATACATTTCAGGAGAAGTGACAGGTTACTGAAGGTTTGAAGTACTAGGAATTTCCAAGAAAATGAATGGAGAGGAGGGTCTAGCAGGAAAACTTTCACAACATAATCTTAGAAGATCATTTCACAAAAGTTTGAGAACCGCTTCAAACATTTGTAGGGAGTTCTTCATTATTTGGAATGTGAAAAGTCACAAGAGAATGTTGCTCCCACCAAAAAGCCAGATATTTTACAAAATTATTGTAAGCATTCCAGAGAGCTGAAATTGTAAAGTAACCCAATAAACTAAAATCCCAAAGTGGACAAATTCCTTCTAAGAGAAACAGAAATCATGGTTGTTTTCATCTTTGGTAGAACAGAGAAAACAGTCAAAGCTGTGTATAAGAAGAAAAAATGAACTTCTAATACATTTTTGGAGGATGAGTGTGGACTTAGAATCCCTAAGATTTTGATTTTTGAGTACTTTCTTACTCTCACACTATAAGTTACTCCAGGCTCATCTTGTATATTCCCAGACTCAGCCATTTTTCCAAGGATTCTTGCTTTCTTTTAATGGAGAATGGTATTAGAAACTAAGATATGAGTGCTGAGTGCTATTTGTTTTCACATTGTCATATTTTTCTTTAAATTTTTGAAGGTACTGTATTTATTACAGTTGTCTGATACAGTTTTATTAATGCCAACATTTGACTGCTTTTTTCCTAAGTAAGACTTACACTTTCCTGTTTCTTTAAACCTCTATCTATCTATCTATCTATCTATATCTATCTATCTATCTATCTATCTATCTATCTATCTATCTATCTATATATACATAAATTTGTATTGGATTTATTGGAGTGACATTGGTTAATAAAATTATATAATACAGTTCTATAATACATCATCTATATATTATATTGTGAGTTCACCACCCAAAGTCAAGTCTCCTTCCATCACCATTTATCCTCCCTTTATCCTTTTCTACCTCTCCTTTTCTCCAACCCCTGTCCCTCTGGTAATCACCATACTATTGTCTGTGTCTATAAGTTTTATTTACTTTTTTTTTTTTTGCTTAGTGCCTTTACCTTTTTCACCCCGCCTCCCAATGCCTCTCCTCTTTGAGAGCTGTCAATCTGTTCTCTGTATCTCACATGAGTCTGTTTCTACTTTGTTAGTTTACTTTATTCATAAGAGTCCACATATAAGTGAGATAGATCATATGGTACTTGTCTTTCTCTGACTGGCTTATTTCACATAGCACAATACTCTTCAGGTCCATCCATGCTGTCACAAAGGGTAAGATTTCTTTCTTTCTATGGCCAAGTAGTATTCCATTTCAAAATTTTTGTTGTTGAAAGCTTGACATTTGAGATAATATATTGTAGCAAATATGAATTCTGATTTTTCCTTTGTAGGAAATTTTTAACCACCTGGGTTTATTTTGTGGAATCTCTTTCTCCAAAGATGTGTAGCCACTGAAGGCTACACATCTTTGTAGCCATTAATTTTTATTTATTTATTTATTTAGTTAGTTATTTGCTAATTGGTCAGCCAGAGGTGGGGGTGGGGTATGTTATGCTTTAAATGTTCCATCCCTAAGGCACCTACGCTCTCCTGTCTGGGAAGTGCATTCAAAGTCTGGCTTTTATGAAGCCTGCCTAGGCATCTACCTTCTGATCTCCCCTGCACATGCCAGTAGTTACAGATGTGAAGATGAGATGTGTGAAAGCTTACACATTGCTTCTAAGACATTTTCTGGGATCTCATTGTTAAACTTATGGTTGGTCCATCATTCTCACCAACAGACTGTAACCTCAGGCTAACAGAGCTGTGAATTTTCCACTTTTGTTGTCTACCCAGTTTACTACTTTTATTGGTAACACTGACAGGGATGGATTTGCTTTATCTGTTCTAAATCACATCATACCACCAGGCCTGTGGGTTTTTATGACTTGTCCCACTCTGATAATACTCTATCACTGAATGAGCTGGAGCTGGGAAGTGGGCAGGTGCAGTTCCTAACAAGGAGGCTGAAGATTCCCACTGTTCTTACCAGAAATCCTGGTACATTCCCCAAAGAAACATCTTTAAAGGTATCATTTATTTTTGCTTTGGTCAATTTCCCAACAACTGAAATGGTTATCTTTTAGAAAATTTGTTCAGATTAATGCTTTTTGTGAGATAGAGTAGTAGCCCATCTCTTCATTTCACTATAGCCAGAAGTCTACTTTCTCTGGTTTGGTTTCCCAACAATTCCTTTTTAAAAACAAACAAACAAACAAAGAAATAAAACAAAACAATTAGAATCTCATTTAGCAGAGAACCCTGAAAGATATGGACTCAGTAAATGTTCTGTCCTATTAACATTTGATGCAGATGACTTGATTATCTGATATTTTGCAGTGTGAGTGACTTCTACACGGAAAATTTAGGAAAAGACCCCGGCCTCCTCTTGAAGGTACAGCGGTGTATGTAAAATGGCAGCTCCTAACAAGATGTTTCTGGAGAAACTGAGCCACAAAAAGAACAGAACTGCCCTGAAAAAAGAAAAACGGAAGAAAAGAAGGCAGGAAGCTGCCCGACTGAGGGACTCAGAAATATCACAAAGGGAAGAGGAGGATATTGTTGAAGAACAACTAGAAGAAGAAAAGCTGTTGGAGATACAGAGGCAAAGCTTACATGAAGAATGGTTGCTCAGGGAACAGAAGGCACAAGAAGAATTCAGAATAAAGAAGGAGGAGGAAGAGGCTGCTAGAAAATGGCAAGAAGAACAAGACAGAAAGTTGAGGGAAGAATGGGAAGAACATCAGAGAAGAGAAAGAGAACAGAAGGAGCAGATGCTACAGGAGAAGAGGGAAAGAGAGTTGGAAAGTCCAGCCACCTGGCAAAACCCAGAACCACCCATGTACTTAAGAGTAACAGAGAAAGATCAAACTAATTGCCCATTCTACAGTAAAACGGGAGCTTGCAGATTCGGAGATAGGTGTTCACGTAAACACGATTTCCCGACATCGAGCCCCACGCTCCTCATTAGAAGCATGTTTACAACGTTTGGAATGGAGCAGTGCAGAAGGGATGACTATGACCCTGATGCCAGCCTGGAGTACAGTGAAGAGGAGACCTACCAGCAGTTCCTGGACTTCTATGAGGACGTGCTCCCTGAGTTCAAGAACGTGGGGAAGGTGGTCCAGTTCAAGGTGAGCTGCAACTTGGAACCTCATCTGAGGGGCAATGTGTATGTTCAGTATCAATCAGAAGAAGAATGCCAAGCAGCCCTTTCTTTGTTTAACGGACGATGGTATGCAGGACGACAGCTTCAGTGTGAATTCTGCCCAGTGACCCGGTGGAAAGCGGCAATTTGTGGTTTATTTGAAAGAAAACAATGCCTAAGAGGAAAATACTGCAACTTTCTTCACGTGTTCAGAAATCCCAACAATGAATTTTGGGAAGCTAATAGGGACATGTACATGTCTCCAGATCTGTCCGACTCTTCCTTTCACAAGAACTCAGAAAGGATGGGCCACCAAGGTGAGTACTATGGCAGGCCCAGGAAGAGAAGAAGCCCAAGTCCCACCCAGAGGAAAAGTAATCACAGGGAGAAGAAATCTCACAAACACATGGCAGAAAATCGTGAAAGGTTCAGTTCACAAAGTAGAGAAAGAAGAAGGGACCATGGCCATAGTCAGGGCAGCCTGAGTGGAGGGAGCCAGAGCCATCGAAGTCACAGCATTAACTTCTCTAGACACAGGAATCCTGGTAGGAGGAGGTCAGGCAGTAGAGAGAGAACTATTTCAAGTTCTAGTTCCAAATAAACTATTTATTATGGCCAATACATTACTTGGATAGAAGGCCCTGAACTCAGAAAGGATAGCAAGTTTGACACATGTAGATGAATCCTGTTTAAAAACCATAAGCAGTTTAAACTATGTAAGAATTACTTGTAATCCTAACCCTTGGAAATAAATCAATAGTTGAGTATTGCTTTAAACTTTTTTCTTCTTATGGTTATATACACATTTTCTTACACATAGTTAAGATTATAAGTGACTTTTTTATTTTTACATATAACACTTGGCCATATTTTATTAACCTATCTGTTTAGGTGATTTTATTTACAGTGTGGCTATGTCAGTTTACTTAACACATCTCTATTGTATTTTAAACTTATTTATAATTTTGCATTATTAAAGAATTTTATGATAGTTCTTTAAATAATTTGAAATCATTTCTTTGGGATAAAATTACATTAACTGACATAACACTAAAGTATTTCTAAATTGCCTTTTACAAGATAACAAGAAATTTACCAGCAATACGTTTTGCTAACTCTATAATCCAAATTATTTTAATCTTCGCCAGACTGATTTTGTGTGTTTTGTTGTTTATTTCTTCCCTTATAGATAACTGTTTCTATATATTATATTCATTGATTCTTTCATGAATCTTGTTGGACCTCATTAATAATCTATATGAGTTTTTCTAGGTATTACTCAAACTGCTTTTATTTTTAAATTTATTTTCTGTTTTAAAGTACTGAAAAGTATACTGTTTTTTTTTAATCCTCTTGTCCCAAATTCTTAGTCCATTTTAACTTGCAAGCTTTCTATCAGTTGCATTGTATTGCAGAGTATTTTATATAGAAGTAAATTTCTTTCTGTTTGACCATTTTTAATAAAATCAGGGTCATGGCAAAAAAAAAACAACTTAGGAAAAGAGATAGTGACTGTGTGAGAGAGATGTTTTCTATCATTTTTTTTTCCTGAGTCTCAATCTAGTGAGTAAAGTTCCTGTTGTATCCCAGATGAGCCTCTAACAAGAGAAACCTATTCACCTCCTCTGGTTCACCAACAGTCCCTAAGCCCCCAATTAATTACTTCTTTTCATAGTTGTAGAATGGAACAGCCTCAATGGGTCTTATATCTGGGTCAAACAAAAGCCACAGAATGGATAGCTAGGATCCTGTCCTCTTCTTGGGAAACCCCAGTGGTTCTAAGAGTTTTGAATTTCATAAACATGTTCTTTATTTTTTGCTTTTGTTTATTTATTTTGTTTTGTTTTAGAACATCAGGGTAATTTTTACTTTCTCAAATAAAGTCATTTTTAAAAGCAAACATGCTGGTCATCAATCATCACCATCATTATATAGTAGAAGGAAAGATATCTAGTACCTCTAAAATAGGAAGGTTTTGATTGCTAATAGTGCTTGTAATTTTTCTATATAAGACAGGATTTTTTAGCTACAAATATATCACCAGGAGGGGTCTAAACATGTGCTTGTGGGTTGTAGAACCAGGGACAATGCCCAAAATACTTCCAGATGACTCCATCAGAGCCCACCCTGCTTCTGAGTTGGGCACAGGTATTGCAGTTTACGTTGCAGACACCACAGATGGGAGGCTGCTACTAAGCTGTCAGCCACAGCTTCTTTTAACAACAGGACTTTGCTAGCTACACTTCTGTCCTAAACCAGCTTCCCTAGAAAACAGAACCCAAGGCAAAGCTCATCATATGCTAATAATTTAGGGGTGGGTGCAATCCTGGAGAAGCAAGACCAATGAGAAAAGAGAAGAAAAACAGGAGAGTACTGCATTATTGAGATGGTTACAATTCACACACACATACACACACAAACCTTCAGTGGTTATTCAGGCACATGGGATTTCTCTGGAAAAATTGTAAACAAGACCATGTCTTGCAGCATTCTTTGGTGGCAGGGAAGAGGGGTGATTTATCTGTTGGTTCCTTCTCTGGTGAAAGGTCATCTCATGAGACACCAGGGCTGTACTATCTGGATCCTCTGGGCAATCACTAGGAAAATCAAAGTTTTCATGGGTCTGATAGGTTTGGACCTGGGGCCCAGAGCTGCCGCAGCACTCGCTACAATGGGAGTAATGCAGGTCGTGCTGGAGCCCAGCATCCTCCACTGGGAAAAGCAGAGAGAATAGATAAAGCAGGAACAACATGAGTTGGTGCTGCTCCAGCCAGGAAGCGAGGCAAGAATCTGAACCCCTGGAAGAAGCATTTACTTCCCAACAGCAATTCAATTCAAGTCTGGTGCTAACTACTTAGAGTTAGCACAAATCCCACAAGTTAAGGGCAAAATACCAATTCTGATGTTATTCACCAGGGAATTAGCATCACACAGGTTAAGGGGCTCAATTGTATAAGACTATCCTCACCTGAGACATCAGACAAAAGTCCACGGCCCACACAACACTTCTGATCAGCCACCTACACATTGTTCTCATGATCCCTCTTCAGGTTTGATAATTCTCTAGAGAGACTTACAGAGTTCACTGGAAGTGCTGCACTTAGAATTATAATTTTATTGTCAAGGATACAACTCAAGAGCAGCCAAAGAGAAGAGACACATGACCCCAGGTTTGGGAAAGCTTTGTTCCTGTGGCAGCAGGGTGTGCCACCCTCCTGGCATTTACCAACCAGGAAGGTCCCCAAGCATCATTGTTCAGTGTTTAATCTAGGTTTCATTACGTAGATGTGATTGGGTTGATCATATGACTGAACTCAATCTCTAGTCATCTTTTCCTCTCTGGGGGGAGGGGGTAGAGCTGAAATTCCAACCTTCTAATCATATCATTCATTTTTTTCTGCAAACTAGCCCCCATTCTGAACATATCTGTGGGCCCAGCCATAAGTCACCTTGCTAGTATAAACTCAGATATAGTCGAAAAGGGTTCATTATGAACAAAAAAAGAAACTCTTATCTATCATTCAGGAAATGCCAAGGGTTTTTGAAGATCTATGCCCCCCAAATTTAAACCCTCTGGAGTAGGTATATGTCTACCAGGGACAAAGACCAAATACAGTTTTTATTGTATTACCACATAGCTGAATAAATCTGCAGAGAGTATATAAACTGGGTCTGTTACTATGGTCAAATGTTTTTTGTGGGTTTTGCTGCTTCATGTTACTGGCTTCCCAACAGAAATTTCAAAGTGCCACACTGGTGAGTCCAAGGCCATATGCCTGCCTTTAGTCATATGGATACAATTACACAAAAGTATATAAACTCCCCTAAACATGAAACATGTTCAAATGTGTCAATTGTTCCCTGCACTGTAATTTTTACTATAAAGTGACCCCAATACTACTTTTTGGAAAAGGTCTTTAGATCATGAAACTTTTCAATGTACCACTTTGCTGGCCATGTTATAAACAGGACACATTCTTTTCTTGGTGATTACCTAACTGTATTCATGTTTTCAGAGAGGACTGAAACGCAGTTGGCATTTCTTAAGCCTCAAGGCTCAAATACAAACTACTTGAAGCTAAAGGTAATAATACTATTGATTTGGTATAAGTATAAAGTCTTTTCTCTTAAGGAAATATAGTACAAGCTGAGAAAAAATAAAATAATTTGTATCTAAATATTAAGTCCTTATTCAATGGTGGTTTGGTAAGTATCTAACAGATGCTAATCACTCCTTGTTATGGTAAATACCAAATACAGCCAGTTCTGGAGGACAGGACTTTTACTTGCTTTTTATGGATGAAGGAACTAAACCCCTGATATTAAAAAGTTGATCACACAGATGCTCTGTGGAAGAACAAGGATTCAAAGTCACTGAAGACAAGTTACTTAAGGTTGGTTGGTGCTCCTTTTAATCTCTCTCAGATGCTTTTTGAAATGTGCAGTAGCTTTTAGATACTCCAGGAATCTAGATAAAGTTTTACAGCTCTGCTTCTTTTGTGGTTTTATAGAATCAATTAAGTAACCTCAAGTGGGAGAATATCCTTTCAAATGCTCTTCCAGGAAACTAAAACAAAGTTTCTTCCTCCAGTTTAGAACAGAGTGGTCTCAAACACCACTTTCCTCTGACTCCCACTCTATATGCTATTGTTATTCTTGTTCTCATCAACATTGATAGGGAAACATTTACTAACTTCAGCCATATTCTAGGCTTTGTGTCAAATAGTTCTCAATCAGTCTTTCTTTTCTAATTCTTTTTTTTTTCTCTTCTAATTCATTTGGCCCTTGCCTGCATGCTGTCTTACGGCTGGTTTGAATTGTCTTGGATGCAGGAATTGTATCTCATTGATGAGATGGAATGGTCCTTGAGTGAGATAACATACCTTGTTGACCCTACAGTGTTAAATAATAGCTTGCACTGTATCAATACTATTTGAATGGAGATTTAGACAGTTTAATGAGTGGAAAGAAACACTGGCCTCAGGTAGAATTATCTATTCATTCCTTTTTCCATGTTACGTTCTCAACCTGAACATGGTGTCACTTGTCAATAATGCAAAGGACTAGGAGGGTGACTAGTAAAAGAGGGGAAGCAAACAAGGTCATAGGTAAACACTTTTGACCTGAATCAGTAATCATCTTGGGTAGTTTGGCATTGGAAACACGTTCCTGACTGGTCCATCCTCAAGCAAATGAAGACCCCAAATCCTTACAGCTTGATTGGACCCAAAAAGCACTGTCTTGATTGGTCAAAATAGAGCTGCTTTGATTGGTTGGAGCTGTGCACCTCCAATTGGATGAGGAAAGCCTCAGTCCTGTTGGTTGAAATAGGATTCCAGGAACTCCTTTATAAAGGCTGGCTCAGATGGCAGGAACACAGCTCAGGCAGTTCAGAACAGGCAGTTCAGTTCAGGCCTGTCCCTGAAGTCCTAGTTCTGTTTTAAAAAAAAAAAAAGCCAATTTAGCCACCAGGAGTCCTCCTTCTCCTCTCCTTTCTTCTTCTTCTTCTTCTTCCACTTCCTCCTCCTTCTTCCTCTTCCTCCTCCTTCTTCCTCTTCCTCCTCCTTCTTCCTCTTCCTCCTCCTTCTTCCCTTCTTCTTC